TTATATTCATTCATTTATCAACAACTTAAAAATAATATCCTTAACATGAAAAAAATATATTCTGGGCTTAAAAAATCTATCACTGACGTGAAATAAATATATCCTTGCAATAAAAAATTCATCCTTGAGACTAGTAATCCTTGACTAGTAAAAATATATTTACTGGATCAGAAAAAAACTACGTTCCAGTTTCGTCTATATTCCAGATATTAAGTGCCTGGAATTCGTACCTAATCGTGATTTCAGCCAACACCATAAAAGCTCATCAACTTTTGGCTATATATATATAACTGGTGTTACAGAAATCAACTTTTGGCAAGGCAAGAGTCAATAACTCGTTACGGGGTCATAAATACACATAACTAGAAACTAAACCTGCTGTCTTGAGGCGGCAAATCAAAAAATCATGCAGTATGATGTGTAATTTGTAATTCAAAAAGCTAGTCATAGTTTTGAAGAGCTCATTGAGACAAATCTAATGATGTATAACACAAGACTTCACAGAGGATATTGAGCCCACCATGGGCGCTTTGCCCCGTGACACGCGTGGGCCCGTTGCCCCACTAGGCATAATTTCAATTTATATCGTGTCAACAGTTTATTTTGAAAGCTAATAGTCTAAACTTAAAATTATCCCTATAAATAATACTTTCAAAATATAATTCACAGTAATTTCAAAAGCTTCATTTACAGCAATCGAAAACAGTTTTATCTAGCAGTAAAAAAACTTTTATCTGGGCTGAAAGTTAATTGCCAGTAACTTATCAACGCAAACTCTTAGCAAAACGTAGAGCCACACAATTCAGCCAGAGAAAATGTCGACCGGCGGTGAGCGCACGGACCAATATCTGCCAAACCTAGCGGGAAACCCGCTATGGGCCCATGACCCACAATGGTCCCGTTGCCCCATGTTATCCTACGTGGAATTTAAGAGATTATGTCAGCATTAGTTCAACCTTATTAATTGTATTGGTTTTATGTGCATAATAATATATTAGGTTTGTACAGCCTAATTGTTTGAACTCCCACGAGGAAGTTGCACCAGCAACTCGGACTGCCCTCCCGACGAGCGCTGTTGCTATTAGTGACCATTGTTGCCAAGGTAACTCATGATAGACTCGAAAATAATCGGAAATTACTTACGAATACTTTAAAAATTACTTAATTGCGTCATACTGACACTGAGATTTACAAACAATTTTCTTTTTCCTGTGTGTAATTTAGCGGTCGACAATAACAAATCTAGTTTTCATCAGATGAGGCGATAGCGAATCTGAAGGTAATTACGTTCACATTCAAAAATAACTCGTAAAGCGAGAGTAAGTATGTATAATGCAATATATAAACATTTATTCGAGAGAGGCGATATATAATAAAATATTATTACATTAAAGGATATAGCCATCATGTTCTAGATATTCCGTGTACATCAGCTCATCTTGAGAAATGTTGGGATAATAGATATTACAATAAATGTACCGGGATAAATCCCAGCATTAGTGTTACTTTTTATTTTTTAGTATCCGCGTACAAAATTATCTGCGTTCCAGGTTGAGTGACTCGTAGTTAAAGCAAAATATCGTGAGTAATTTAATCGTGTCTTATTATTTGTTAGTGTTTTAAAAATATACTCTTAGCCAATTCTTTGTTACGTGATTCAGTGAACTTCTTAATAACAAACAGCAAATTGGTAGAATCTTTCAGTGGCCAGTAGCTCTAACCTGTCATATGCAGTATTACGACTTCAGATCGTAATACTGTATCAGAGTACTCTGATCGTATCAGAGTAGTAACTTTCCGATAACTTTGCATCATTTCATTTGTACGTCTAAATTTCACCTGATTTATCACTGATATGCGCAGGGATGTTTCAAATGTTATCTACTGTTAGATGATTTTTATCTCGTCATAATGCCCAGTCTGAAACATATGTGCCGCATCATTGAATCCGGTTAAAATCTCTTGAATGATCTTTGAAATATTGTCAATGTTCCAATCAGTTTTTCGCCCTGTTGATGACGTTATTTTCTTGCGACGTACTAGCCTTGACATTCCGAACTACCAATTGCGTCACCTTGAAAGTTCGGATGGTCTTAATTGTCACGCACACCAATGACCGGAAGTTGAGAGATGCTTCCCTTTATTGGCTTAAATAAGCAAGGCTTGGACTGGACGGATTGATAACTCAAAGACAAGATTAACTCAATGTATCTATGGATAAACAGCAATTAAAGGCAAAACAAATTAAAACGAACGATCTTACGGGGAAAATAAGTACCAAGCGAATTAACAAATCGCACACAAGAGCTATAACAAATCGAATGCGGGGAGAGAGAGCTAGAGCACGGAGGTTTTGAGAATAAACGCACAATCCTAAAACAGAAAACGAAAGTAAATACTTGCATATAACAATTCAATATGTTCACAATAATTATAGTATTTCACTAACTAATTCAAATCTCACCACTATTTTACGCAACAACTCACCTTGGCGCCTGAGTCAAAATCCTATAAGAGGAACCAATACGCACGTCGGGATCAGCAGCTTATCTGACGGCCACAACAAATTTAACGCCCACGTCAGAGCTGGTCGTGCTTAATCTTTGCGGTCTGAGAGTCAGTGGTGGGAAATTTACATAGTGATAACATAACATAACATAGCGATGTCGGCGCTAAAGTGTAGGCCTTATGTGGCCTGTCGTCGATTCTTGAACTTTTCGTGCCTTGTTCACAGAAGATCTAAAATCATGTCATTTGACCGGATCTTTTCATGACTGACGATAGTTTGAAGTAGCTACTAGACTTCCACCAGGTTCGATATGGTGCTAGGCATTTCAAATATGAACATATATTCTTTCATAGCTTTATCTAGTCTGTTCTTGAACGCGTTCATACTTGGAGCGCCTACGATGTAATCAGACAGGCTGTTCCACATGTCGGTGATTCGAAGCGAGAAGAAATGGTGTCGCGTGGGCAAATTTGCACAGTACTTCATTACAGTTATTTATACTGATTTTCTAGGTTACTGCACAATCAACGTGAGTGTGCAAAAGAATCTAATTGCCTATGAATTTTGAATTATTGCTATTTCAAATTTCTTTTTGTGTAAGTTAACCAGAGATTTTGTACTGTATAATCCTGACCGGGACGTTTCCTTGCCAAAATATTATTTTCATGTTGTGCCATACCTAGGTAGTTCTATAACTACTTTTGCCTAGGCAGAAATCTGAATAAATTCTTCAAATACCTTAAACTGCTCAGTCGTTACCGACTGATGATCAGAGAAATTACTATTAAGACTATTTTAAGTTCTGCCTTCTGATGCAACTCTGTTTTGCCGAGAACGTCATGTGAAGATGGCCTCACAATAAAAAGTAGAATAACGAAGTCTGACTTTTATTGACCCATCCGCGAGTGTCTGCGGGATAGACGCTCGCGACAATGCAGATAAGGAATATTTTTAATTTCTTCACATACAAGCTGTTCAATATTCTCGCTTCCATCTCTGTGCGGCACACTTGGTTTCAAACTATCAACACGAGCAGGATTTCTCAACGTGAGTGGGAATCATCAACGTGATGATCGAGTTGGAACTATCAACGCACTTGGGAACTATCAACATACGTTGGAACTGTCACCGTGCGTAATCACTATCAACGTACGTGATATTCATTAACGTGCTTGGTGAATTTTCAACGAGCATATTGTCAACTTGTCTCTATACAAGCACATCTGTACTAGGGTAGTGTCCGTGTACTTCTAATATATCTGATCACATGTGGTGAATCTGTGCTCTTGTGACGTATGTCCTCTTGTGATGTAAATGTTCACTTGTGATGTATGTATACACTTGTGGTTTGTTATTCATCCACTTTGCAGGTAGGTCCCTGTGATGACCTCTGAAGCTGGGAAGGCTATCAATTGTAGATTAATACGAAAGCGTCGATATCGCTAAAAGCCAATAAACTACGTAATAACAGGACGAGAATAATACTTGCCAACGTCTTTCAGTTTACTAGATAAAAGTCTTACGATGGGTTATGACACATGGGTTGAAAGTTCGACATTTATTGCCACCATTTAAAGTTAAAATTGATACGAAACTTCATCCTATAAACTTTATTGATTGAAGTATTTATAATCTTGAAGCTTGAACTCACCTAATTATATCAGTACAATACCAGTTGCGGTCATAGGGACAACACACTTGTTCCGTTGGACAATCGCTGTCATCGAAGCACGAGACTCCTTGATGCAGAAACGTAATGGTGGGGTTGGGGCAAGGACCTAAGTAAATCATTTATATTTTACAACAAAGCCAACAGAGGTCAATCTTAATGTATATCAAACTTATGGCCTTATAAAATTTGGAAGGTAGGGGGAACTTATTAAATTTCCATTTAATATCGATGAGAAAAATCAGACATCGGCAAATAGCAGACCACATTTTGCAAAGCCGTTTCACTTTCGACACTAAATTAGGACTAGACAAAATACTAATCACAAATTAAAATTAGAAGTTGGGTAAAAAACTTTTTCCTTGCAAGGCCTCTTCAAATTGCAATGGTCCAACTCTGATATAGCCAACGCTTCTTGGGATTGTTCAAACCCTGATCTCGCAACTGTATATAAAAACTAAGGACTGTCCGGTTAAGCAGGCAGGTCAACAATTAATAATTGGTTCAAGTTCAATACTATTCCTACGTGTGAAAAGTGATGCCAACATTTTTACCGATGGGATAGTGTTTCAGCTTTAATTTTGTCCGTGACTAAAAACTTTATGTCACGAATAGATCAGTTGGACCTCTATCTCAAGATAATCTGCGACTATCACGATAATAACGAAAATTCGTGTCTTCCTTCGTGGCAAATAACATGAAAGTAATTCGTGGCAAATTCTTCTTACATTAAGGTAACAAACAAAGCATCACTGATAGCACATATTCAAATAAATTATTCATCTAGCTGTTAAATTAACTGAAAGTGAGCCTCATACACACCTCTTAGCAGCCGGGCATCGCTTGCAGGTGACAAGATCAGAACCGCCAGCAGAAGGCTTGTCACTAGTCCGAATGCCTTCATGTTCATAATGCGGGTCTGCGGATATAAAATATTTATTGTATCGTTCAGAACATTACTCGGAAAGTTTGTACATTCTAAATTTCTGTAATTGAGAAATGTCTGATAACATTGCAGTCTTTCGAGCCCTAGCAACGTATCAGTTCACCCGAAGCTATGCTACATCTAAACTCGCCCAAGTACGAGTACATATAGCGGGTGATTTTTCGTTTGTGTGTGGTGGGTTAAGCTTCAGCCGTCAGTGATTGGCGGACGGAGATACGAATGAACTCTAAATTATTTTACATTCTTTAACTTCACTTCTTGTTGTTTGTTGGTTTGTCTGTCTGCTACAAATCTTATAATCGATATTTGACGCACTTCTACCTGTCCAATAGATCTGAAATTTTGCACACTTGCCTAAATTGGAGACAATGCATGATTCAATTGACAGAATAAATAATTTTGAAAATGAAAAAATTTTCTTTTTCAATATTAATAGAAATGCTAAAAAATTTTGTCTGCAACAAATCTTATAATCGATATTTAACACACTTCTTCCTGTCTAATAGATCTAAGATTTTGCACACTAGCGTAAAGTTGGAGACAATGCAAGATTCAATTGACGGAATAAATAAATTTGAACAATTTAAATTTTTTCATATTTAAAAATTAAATTCAAAAATTAATTTTTTAATATTTAATAATACAAATAGAAATTCATTGCAGATATTTAAAATTGGAGACACTAGATTTTTTAGAAGTGTTGTCTATAAAAAATAATTTTTAAACGCATTTTATTACAACACTACTCTTTAACTTCACTACTTGTTGTTTGTCTGTCTGCTACAAATCTTATAATCGATATTTAACACACTTCTACCTCTCCAATCGCTCTGAAATTTCGCACACTTGCGTAAAGTCGAGACAATGCATGAATCAATTGACTAAATGAATAACTTTTCATATTTAATTTTTTTATTAATTAATAAAATATATATATATATATATATATATATATATAAATAAAATTAAAAATTCATGAAACAGGTGTAACATCGGAGACACTGGCCTCTTTAGAAGTGTCGTCTTAAAAAAATTAATTTTTAAATGCGTATAATTATTTGTGTACGGTGTTTTATAAGGTTATTTTTTTAGTTTATTTGTTAGAGTATTTTATTACTGAATTTATTTGAAACTACGACCTCTGGTGACTTTTGATTAGTGTCAGGTTGTTGTTGGACCAAGGAAGACCGACAGAGGCAAGTGGCCATGATAGCGTCAACGTACTTTACGTTCTGTAAACAAATTACCGGACGCGGGAAATCCTGGCAATTTCTTTTTGTTTGTACGCTGGTAATCTCTCGATCATAACACATGAGTGAAGAATTTAAGTGTTAGCTGTTCGCAATGAAAGGAAAAACTTCTGCCATCATTGAAGAAGGGGAAACTTCAGGTGAAATTGAAACGCATGACATTTATTAAACAAGGAAATTAGGAAGCCATGATTCACATTAATAAATTTGGTTTTTAATGGAAATTCCTAAAAATCACTGGAAATAAACTATATATCATGGATAATCATTTAAAAATTCTTAAACTTGTAGACAGCTAAACATTTTCCTCAAGTTTCCACTCGTCATACTCGTGATTGAAGCAGCCAGCAATTTCTGAACTTGGTAACGATATTATACCTCGCTTCGTGTCGATTTGTATGCTCTAAATATTAAAAGCCGTTGCATTAAAAGTCATGATGCTTATCTTTATTGCTTTAAACTCACCTTCGTTTCCCAGGTTCGTGTTACAAGCTTCCTTTGTTTACAGCTTGGCAAGCAGAGGCAAACTGTGGCGTCACCGCTGCTGGCGGAGCTTTAATACCCCGGCGCTGGCTGACCTTGGTGCTTATAATATAATATAAGGTTATATAACATAATATAAGGCTTGGTGCTTATATACCTTGGTCCAGCTTATATCCAATGGATATAAGCTGGATGACACCGTTCCCCTCATTCGTGTGAAATCACGAATGAGGGGAAATGGAAAAAAATATAAGTCAGTACTCACTGCATCGAGTGACAGAGAGCGCATTTTCTCGTCGACGAAAACTTTAGGTCACGGACGGACAGACAGACAGACGGACATGGCGAGCACAATGGTGCATTTTTTCCATAAATGAGAAAATGCGCTAAAAACTCGCAAACGAAGGCATATCTAAAAAATGCTATCCTGCCTGGTGTTGAATGATTTGAACTGTGCTCCAAACCTCATTGATATTTTCCCTGCTGGTGGACTTGAAATCCAATCTATAAAAGTTTTTTTGTAAGTATAGAAGCATAAGCATCACAAACGTATATAACCCAAACCTCCCCATTGACTTGGCTGACTACTCTTATTATTTTAACCAGATCAGCCGCTAAATATGACAGAATATATAGATTTTCATGTTAACTGAATGACATAATTAAGATGCACTTAATTATGTCAAAGATCACCAAGATTGGAGTTATCGAAGGGGTTGCCATTAAGTTTGACACATAATCGTGGCAGTGAATTGTGGTTTGAAGCCAAGGTAGCTGCAAAAATTCTGTTATGTCTATAACTGACGATAGGCCAGACATGGAATAGTCTTAAATGCTGACATTATTATACTGTTACTTCAATAAACTGAAATCTTAGCTTCCGTCAGTTCACTTTTAAATATAAGGATGTCAATAAAGATCTCAATCATGATAAACTGATTCATATTATCTTGTCATATCACATAAACGTGTTTGAGAGATAAAAAAAAATATAGACATATCTCGAAATTTCGTAAGAAGCTCGAATAAATAATGGTATTTAAACCTTCTTATGATTTTTCAAATAAATTAGTGATATAGAGTGAACTAACACGCTTGAAGGTCTAAAAATATTTCCGTCAAAACGCACCGAGAATGAACAGCTGTTTCTTGGGAGCGCAGTCTTGCACCACCAATTTTGTGCCCCAATCAGCCCTGAATTACTAGTACATCAAGCATATTTCCCAGCCCTGAATTACTAGTACACCAAGCATATTTCCCAGCCCTGAATTACTAGTACACCAAGCATATTTCCGTAAGGCCACCAATCAGCAGCGTATTAATCCTGCCAACAGTAGCCAGCCCATGACGTCATATTGTTTTAAATATCAAGAGCTTTAAGCCCCCATATTCTGAAGCGAATAGCCCAGTAATGTAATGATCGTCCACCACTGAATGTTACATCGAATCAACACTTCGTACCCTGACTTTAGCTCGAACTGTAACAGCGGACAACGGACTGAGATCCACGGTTGAACTAGTCAACCATGCTGCGATCAATCAACCTAGCTAGCAAGTGGAACTGCATGAATCCTGCCTCGCACCACCAGAACGTGGATCGAAGCATAGTTCTGTTCCAAAGTCTAACGTTCATCGACGAGCCGCCGTTCGACCGTGGGCTGATTCGATGCAAAGGGCCAAAGGATGAATACGGACGGGTTGCTAGCGGTCCACAAATTTACTGCAAGGCTCCGGCAGTCCGGCACGCTGTGTCAGAGTGGTGCAGAATTTTTTTGCGTACTGGCAGACGATTTTGGGCCAAACGGTTGCAGGTTGTTTTCCTGTAGGCTGATTAGTCTACTTCAATGGATATCTGTCTGGTGGCTTGCGACTCTGGAAATAATGTTACAGTCAAGAAATGTTATTGGCTAAGTTCTTGAGGTAAGTGATCATGAAAGCCCATTCGAAACACGGCAGTGTTGGTCTCCGACAGGTATCCCGCTTACGAAAGCTGCGATTCTAATAATCGCAGTCATAATCGGAGAAGTGCTGCGACTTAAAACTAACAACGCAGCCAAAAGTTGACCAGCTACAGCACTGCTTGGCTGTTCAGATTTCAGGCAACAAACAAGAAGTGAATTGAATGTGGCGCAGACTGCGCATACGCAAGTTTCCTCTTGAGTTTGCAGCTAGCGGCAAATATTTTGGTGCAAATAATTCGGAAGCTGAAAGACTGGAAAATTTTTCGCCATGCGTTATTTTTTTTCCTGTTAAATATGACCATTATTATACTTTTTAAGGATTATACCCAGTGTTGTTAACCACTTGGACATTTTATGTATCTGCCGAAATTGTTTAATGATAAAATAGATTTATGTCCATATTATACAATAATAAATACTATATAATCCGCAAGTTCAAGCGAAAAACGCAAGTAATGAACAGCTTCATACAAAAACGTAAGTAATGTGCTACCGAACAGCTCATAACTACTGCATTTCTGACGGATTTGTGTGAAATACAGAACATTCAGTAATTATTACCGATAGGCCGCGGTAGAAATAATTATGGATTTTTGCGATTTTTATTTTTGATTTAAAAAATACTTTCTAAAAATTAGGCTAAGATAGTTTAGGATGGGGGTAGGAGAGGTTAGAATTTAGATCATTATGATTTAAGCAAATGGCTTTATTCTACCCAGTCCTAACCTAACCTAGTATCTTAACCTAACTTTGCCTAATTTTTCGAAATTTTCGTTTAATCAAAAACGAAACTTCGGAACAATCTGTAATAATTTCTATTGCGACGTATCGCTTTTACTTCTGTTCTGAATTTCGTGCAAATCTGTTCAATTTCAAAGGACTAACAAGCTGCTTGGGAGCGCATTAGTTTTGCGTTCGACTCACCGACGTGGGCCTAACGACGAGGAGATCGCAGAAAGGCCGATCAAGTGTGTCTGTGATACTGAGACTTTTAGCGAGAACTTTCTCCCCGGAAAATAGCGCTTCTTAGAATTCGGCGACTGGTCAACTCAGCCCATGTTTTGCCCGGCAGGGACCGTCCAGGGTTATCCAGGTGGGGTATTTAAGCTCCGCCGGCTGGCACGACTGCATCACTGCCCCTCTGCTTGCCTAGCTGTGAATACAGTATATGGTTATAAGGAATTAAAAATTTACGGTACGATTACATTAGTCTATATGATACCAAGTAGATCCTCAAATGATTAGTTGATGCAAATGTATCTATGGAGATATTCAAATAACTACAAATAACTGGATTAGAAGCGAAATGAATTTCTGAGCGAGTGCTGTGAGTAATAACAGTCGAGACATGCCTGTTTGTAGTGAACAATTTTACTCACAACCACAATCACAGCCCCTCATCGAGGCTCAATTCTTCCTTCCACTCGTCACGAAACTTCAGTTAAAAGACGGTTTCTCGTATGTGACTTCATATATGACTTATTCATCCCATAATCGTATGATACTTTATTTATGATGCAATTATTGCATTATAGTTCAATTCTGGCAAAAATTCTAGCATGAATTTTTGAATGAATGAATAAATCTTTATCACTTTTTCATCGGAATTTATTCACAAAGTTCTCATTCATTCCTTCAACGAACAGCTTCAGTTTGTGAGATATTCATAACTTCAAACAAGGTCGACGTTCACAAAATTTTAAAACTTTTGTTTGTGCCAAATTTAATAACATTTCCCGCAGCTCACCATGAGGGCTATCGTCCTGTTCGCTGTAGTGTTTGTGATCCTCGTCTCGTCTCCAGAAGCAGAAGGAAAGAATAAAGGTTTGTTCGCAGGAGCAGAGCAAGGAATTATTTCTTATTATTGTGGTAGTTAATTAATAATGTGAATTTTGTTGCTAGGTGGGTACATATTTTCCACAAAGATGCGAGATTCGTAATGAATAACTTCAGTTCACTATTTCGTAATTTTCAAGTTATATGTATATGCGTGGAGATTACATGAGTTATCTGAAATTTATTGCAGTGTCTGCACCAATCTTCCTGCTGGCAAGTCAAGATTTCATGAGAATTCTTTTAGAACTTGTGAAATATTTTGTCATAAAAACTATCTAGTTGTGTTGAACAGTGGAATTTAATTAATTTATTTGTAAGTACAACATAATTAAATGTACATACAACCTAATTTATACTGTTACCTATACGCATGACCTAATTATCTGCTTTATACGTGGAATGTAAGAGAATGTGTCACCGTTAGTTCAGGCTTATTAATTGTATTGGTTACATGTATGTAATATATCAGGTTGGTATAGTCACTATAGCCTAATTGTTTGAACCCCCAGGAGGAGGTTGCACCAGGAACTCGGACTGCCCTCCCGGCGACATCTGTTGCTCCGAAGGCTGCGCCAAAAGATGTCACGACCCATACAAGGACTGGATACCCTATTGAATGTTTTTTTAAAACATCGCACATTCACTTTATATGAAATACAGCATTTCCGATTTTGACTATGTTCCAAGTCGTATGTTGATATCCACAAGGAGATTATTTTAGTTTCGTTGAATGATGTATTTCATACATGGAGCAACGGTTTCAATGAATATGTTAATTTACTTGAAAATTTTTATAAATTAATAAAATTTCCTGAGTAGCTATAGGCTGTAATTGCTCTTTACATTGAATGGCCTTTAAGAGTGAATATTTTCGGAAATACTCATTAATAATTCGATTATTTACCATTCATTTAAAAAAATTCAACATAATATTTGGAAACTATTTTTTTAGAATAAAATTGCAACGAGACGCTGAAAATTAATGTACTTCAATGCGTAATAATGATTCCAAATTAAAATGTTATCCACAATTGGAACGGGTTTTATTTTGTGTAAAATCATGTTTAAAAAACTGCAGTTGGAAAACTGAAAAATTAAAACCGTAAGATCTTCTGAAATGGAGAGAATAGTTGTTTCTTTTCACTTCATTACCAAAATTCCATTCCTTCCAGAATGTACAAGGCATATGAATATAAAGGGCTACGATACATCAGCAGAAATTCAATAGTAGAATTTATCTTGTTTTGTTTATGCCATTATTGACAAATGTTACCAAGATAAATCACGATAAAGTAAAAAATAATCGGATATTACTCACGAATAAATAACTTGCGCGTTATTACTTACTTATTACTTATAACTTGCGTTATTACTTATAACTTGCGTTATTACTTACTTCCTTGCGTTATACCGAAGTCTAGAGTTAAAACAATTTTCTTTTTCTTGTGCGTAATATAGTGGTAGACTCTAACAAATTTCGTTTTCTTAAGATAGCGAATCTGAAGGTTTTTAAGTTCACAGTAAAAAAAACTCGTTAAGCGAAAGAGAGTATATATAATACAATACATCTACAATTATTCAGAGAAAAGATATATAACGCAATATTATTATATTAATGGATATAGCCTTCGTGTTCTAGATGTTCCGTGTACATTAGCTCATCTTGAGAAATGTTGGGATAAGTTTCATTAATTTATTCATGTGTCTAATTAATTTCTATATGTACAAGCTGTTCAATATTCTCGCTTACATCTCTGTACGGCACACTTGTTTCTAACTATCAACACGCGTAGGAACTCTCAACGTGAGTGTGAATCATCAACGAGCGTTGTAACTCCCAACGTGTGCTGGAACTTCCAACGAGCGTTGGAGCTCCCAACGAGCGTTGTAACTCCCAACGTGTGCTGGAACTTCCAACGAGCGTTGTAACTCCCAATGTGTGCTGGAACGACTATCAACGTGTGTGGCACTGTCAACGTTTAAAGTAGGTATAAACATGCGTGAGAACTATCAACGCGCGTTCGAATCATCACCGTATGTGGGAACTATCAACGCACTTGGTAACTATCAATATACGTGGGACCTGTCAAGTTGTCAACCTGTCAACGAGCGTAAATACTATCCACGTACGTGATACGTATCAACGTGCTTGGCGAACTATCAACGAGCATGTTGTCAACTTATCCTTGCTAGCATCTCTTTACTAGGGTAGTGTCCGCGTGCATCCAATGTCTCTGAACACATGTGGTGAATCTGTGCTCTTGTGGAATATGCATGTTCTCCTGTGATGTAAATGTTCACTTGCGATGTTTATATACACTTGTGGTTGGTTATGCATTCATTTTACAGGTAGGTCCTTGAGATGACCTCTGATGCCGGAAATACTAGGAACGGTAGAATAATACGAAAGCGTCGATATATATATCGCTAGAAGCCAATAAACTAATAACAGATGAGAATAAGAATTACCAGTGTCTTACAGTTTACTAGATAAAGTCTTACGATGGGTTATGACACAAGAGTTGAAAGTTCAACATTTATTGCCATCATCCAAATTTAAAATTGCTACGAAACTTCATCCTACAAACTTTATTAATTGAAGTATCTTTGAACTGATCTCAAGTAACTATATCAAGACATTCCCTGCCGCAGCCATTGGCACAACACTTCTGGTGACGGGGGCACTCGCAGTCACTGAAGCAGTTCCTGTCCGTGATGACACACAACCCGATGGTGCCCGTGGTGTCGGGGCAAGAACCTATTAAATAATTTATCTCTTAAAACAAAGCTAACAGAGATCAATCTTCAATTATATCAAACTTATGGCATTGTGAAATTTAGAAGGTACAGGGAACTTAATAATATTTTCGACTATTATCGATAAGAAAAGTCAGACGTTGGCAAATAGCAGAGTGCAGTTCGCAACGCCCATTCACATTCGAAAATTACGACTATATAAAATATTAATCACAACCTAGAATTGGAAAATAGGTTGAAAACTTTTTCGAAAATAGGTTGAAAACTTTTTCCTTGCAAAACCTTTTCAAATTACAATTGTCTAACTCTGATATAGCCAATGCATCCTAGGATTGTTCAAACCCTGATCGCACAACTGCGTATGAAAACTACGGATCCGATTGTCCTGCTAACCAGACAGGTCAACAATTATTGGTTAACTTCAATAGTATTCCTACGGGTGACAAGTGATGCCAACATTCAAGCAGCATTTTTACCGATGGGATGGTGTTTCAGCTTTAATTTTGTCCGTGACTAGAAGCTTTATGTCACGAATAGATCAGTAAGACCTCCATCTCAAGATAATCTGAGACTATTACGATAATAACGAAAATTCATGTCTTCTTCTTCGTGGCAAATATCATAGAAGTAATTCGTGGCAAATCCTTCTTATATCTAAGCTAACAAATAAATCATCAATGAAAGCACATTTCAAAATAAATTTATTGTCTATTTGTTAAATTAACTGCAAGTGAGCCTCATACACATACACACCTGGCTTTTCACTCAGCCGCCGGGCATCGCTTGTAGGTGACAAGATCAGAACCGCCAGCAGAACGCTTGTCAGTAGTCCGAATGCCTTCATGTTCATAATGCGGGCCTGCGGGCATAAAATATTTATAATATCGTCCAGAGCTTTACTCAGAATGTTTGTACGTCTTAAATTTCTGTAATTTAGAAATGTCAGTTAAGATTGAACTCTTTCGAGCCCTAGCAACGTATCAGTTCACCCGAAGCTATGCTACATCTAAACTCGCCTAAACGAGTACATATAACGGGTGATTTTTCGTTTGTGATTGGTGGGTTAAGCTTCAGCCGTCAGTGATTGGCTGACAGAGGTACGAATGAACTCTAAACTATTTTTTGAAAGTACGACCCTTGAAGCCTTGATGACTTTTAATTAGTGTCAGGTTGTTGTAAAGGTCGCTGGAGCAGAGAAGACCAACATTCTGTAAACAAATTACCGGACACAGGAAATCATGGCAATTTCTTTTTGTTTGTAAGTTGGTAACTTCTGTATCATAACACATGAGTGAAGAATTTTAGTGTCTACTGTTCACAATGACAGGAAAAACTTCTGCCGCCATTGAAGGCGTCATTCAGCGTGAAACTGAAACGCATGACATTAATTAAACAAGGAAATTAGGAAGCCGCGATTCACAGTAATACATTTGGTTTTAATGGAAATTCCTAAAAAGCACTGTAAATAAATTACATTTCATGAATAAACAATAAAGAATTCTTGAACTTGTAGACAGCTGAACATTGTCCTCAAGTTTCCACTCGTCACACTTGCGATTGACGCAGCCAGCAATTCCTGACCTTGGTAAAGAAATTATCTCGCTTCATGTCGACTAACATGCTTTGAATATGAACCGTTGTCGCATTAAAAGCCATGATGATTATCGTTTGAGTTTCAAACTCACCTTTGTTTCCCCGGTTCGTGTAATAAACCTCCTACGCTTACAGCTTGGCAAGCAGGGGCAAACTGTGGCGTCACCGCCGCTGGCGGAGCTTAAATATCTCGCCGCTGGCTGACCTTGGGTCCACCGCCAAGCCATAAGAAGGCTTTAATTACTCAAAGACTTCCCAGAAATTTTCTTGCGACTAAACCTCGTCGAAATGACACTGTCTCCATGCTGCGCGGCCAGGAAAGATGCGGACACTTGAAAAACACCAACGGACTCTACTAATAATTTAAAATAACGGGCATGTGGGGAAACTTTTTGTGGTAAAATTTCGTAAACGATGTTACTGAGACATTAATGAGATGAATTTTGGATGGAGCAATTTTATTATTACAACACTTCTCTTTAACTTCACTTCTTGTTTGTTTGTCTGCCTGTCTGTCTATCTACTACAAATATTATAATCGATATTTAACACACTTCTACCTTAGTATCCTTAGTATCCTTAGTATTTGTTTGGGACACAGCAGTCCCAGGCCACGATGGATCGCCGCCTCTCCACGATGGCCGCCCAATCTATCTGAAATTTGGCACACTTGCGTAAAGTTGGAGACAATGCATGAATCAATTGACAGAATAAATTATTTGAAAAATTTCAATATTAAAAAAAAATTAAAAATAATTTTGTCACCTATCGACAAAATCGATATCTGACAGTGTTATGACAGTATCGATAAAGTGTTATTACCGATATCTGACACACTTTTACCTGTCCAGTCGTTCTGAAATTTTGCACACTTGCCTAAAGTTGGAGACAATGCATGAATCAATTGACAGACTAAATAATTTTATATATTAAAAAAATTTTTTCATTATTAAAAAATTTAAAAATAATTTCGTCTGCTACAAATCTTATAATCCATATATGACACAATTTGACCTGTCCAATCGATATGAAATTTTGCACAATTGCATAAAGTCAGATATAATGCATGAATCAGTTGACAGAATAAATAATTTTGATAATTTACAAAATTTTGATATATAAAAAAATTTTGACAAATACTTTTTTTAGATATATGAAAATGAATTTAGAAATTCATTGTACATGTGTAACATCTGAGACACTGGATTGTTCAGAAGTGTTGTCTTTAAAAATTAATTTTTAAACGGATATTATTTATATTACTGCATCTCCAGCAACAGAAAAAATATAGATGGAAGACAATGACTGAAATTATCGAGGTGTGCTCAATCGTCCGGTGTGTACGAGTGTGCGTTGAGACTGGACGCATGTGGAGGAGAAATTAGCACTCAAAAAGAT